TTGCAGTTCAAAATATATGAAATTGTTTGTTAGGAGAGGCAATTTCCCCTAAATGTTAAGAACCTACATGCTTCTGGGGCTTCATCCCCTGGGTCATTCTGAGGGCCCTCAGGTGGGCCCAAACCTTTTAATCCTTAAATCTTTGCATTACCAGTTAAGTTATCATGATATGTTTTCATGCAAGATGGAGCTTTCTTCATAAAATGATGACCTGAAGATCAGGTATTAGCATTCACCCACGACCAGGCCAATTGCGACGGATATCAACTCTGCTAAGTTAGTGTGGTCAGTCATTGATCGTTTGGTGCGAAAGCGTCCAAAACAATTAACTTCTAGTGACACCTTCATTCAAGTTCTTTGCTATGAGTGAGGTCCAATACCACAGGTTCAGACATCAGATATTGTAAATATGATATATTTCTGGCCTTAGTATTGCAAAGGGCTTAATTCTCTAGATATAAATGGTAATCTTGTACCATTTGTTTCACGTATGTGTATTTAATAAATCGACATTCTTCCTGGAGTGGATTTCCATTCCCTTATTTGTAGGCTTTGCACTTAATTCAAATAACTTTATAAAACTACAATATCTAGAATTGTTAAAAACCTTATAATTCATATATTTCCTTTCACGGAAATGTCACTTAATAAGTATTTATCTTCTTTAAAGTGACACTGTATCTGGTATATCGTTTGGAATCAGCTGAAAATCTAAACGTTATTCGATATGAAAAAATCGAGTTATCCAGTTTTAGAAAAAAAATAACACTTTATAAATTATGTTTTGACACTTCAGTGAAACGTGTGATAGTTACTGGACAAAATTTCCAAGATGTAGAACTAACTTTATAGAATCGTATATATTCTACAACTGAAGTAGTCACTGTTCTTTGCCTACCGATCTTCCACATAGGAGCCATTCTCTGGGTTGTAAATGTCGAGTTTCTCGCTAGGGGGTGTGTTATCACGAGGTTTGTTTAAGGTAAAGGTGGGCAGAGAAAGCACTTAAGTATTTTCCAGGTCGACAAGTGGTAGTGGCAATTACTCGTGACTCCTTCTAGCGAGTGTTTACCATAACTAAATTTGTTCAGTTGTGCACGATCCTCTGGATAATTCTCTCGCAAAAAATTTTCGAGATTATCCTAAACGGAGGCTTAAACTTTAATAGCTGTATGATACAGAAAGAGATATATTTGTGGTTTCAGGCTTCAACAACAGATACTTTAACAGAAATTGGTATGACGTGTACTTGGAAGTGCTTTCAGATTCCACCTCTTTTCTTCTGTCACGTTCTCTATTACACTGGAAAACAAGGTTATTAAACGAAAATAATATCGAAGAAAATGGCTCTTATTTTTCACTTTTTAACTGTATTTTCAAATTAGAATAAAACTTCTTATGTGAGAAAGAACGGTTGCTTTATCTTTTAATTGAAGTTACGTAAATAAGTTTGTCCTGTTTTTCAACGTAATAATACGTAGAAAACAGCTTATGGCTTGTCAGTGATCATGTTCTCAGTCGTGCTCAGGTGGCTGTCTTCATGGTAGTGTTCAGTCGTGTAGAGAAGGAGATCCCATCGCAGTGTTCAGTTCAGTCATACTCAGGTAGGTATCCCATTATAACCTTCAGTCATGCTAGGGTGTATATCTCATCGTAGCTCACAGTCACGTTGAGGGAGATATCCCCTCGTAGTGTCCAGTTTAGTCACACTGGGGTAGATATCCCATCATAGTATTAAGTCATGCTGAGGTGTATATCTTCATTTTAGTGTTAAGATCAGCCATACTGTGGTAAATATCTTATTGTAATGTTCATTTCAGTCATGCTGAGATAGATATTGTATCGTAGCTATAAGTCATGTTAAGATGTATATCTTCATTTTAGTGTTCAGCTCAGTCATGCTGAGGTAGGTATCTCATTGTAATGTTCAATTCAGTCATGCTGAGGTAGATATCTCATCATAGCGCTCATTCATGTTGAGAGATTTAACCCATCGTAGTGTTCAGTTCGGTCATGTTGAGTTGTTTACCTTTATTTTAGTGCTCAGCTCAGTCATGCTAAGGTAAATATTTCATCGTAGTGTTCATTTCAGTCATGCTGGGATAGATATCTCATTGTAGTGCTCAGTCATGTTGAGGGAGATATATCATCGTACTGTCCAGTTTATTCATGTTGAGGTAGAAATCCCATCATAGTGCTCAGTTATGCTGAAGCAGATATCCCATTATAGTGTTCAGTCATGCTGGGGTATGTATCTCATCACAGCACTCATCCATGTTGAGGGAGAAATCCTATAGTAGTGTCCAATTTAGTCACGTTGAGATAGAAATCCCATCACAGTGCTCAATCATGTTGAGGTGTATATTTCATTTTAGCGCTCAGACTTGTTTATGGAGATATCCCATCGTAATGTTCAGTTCAGTCATTTTATGGTAAATAGCTCATTGTTATGTTAATTTCAGTCATGCTGAAGTAGATATCCCATCGTAGTCCACAACCACAGAATAACAAGCTGTACATTTATCAACGAAAACACCGGTTTAAAATAAAGGCAGCTGTATTAATGGACTAGTTGCGTGAGAGATATCTGTCAGACTTATGTTAATGAAATTACTTTTCTTTTTACCAAAATAATATTGTTGTTTCGCACTGAAAATAGTGAATCTTGATTTAAGATTTATAGCACGATAAATTTGATTCTTATGGTTTTTATAATGTTAAAAATAGAGAACTCGTCGCGGTTTAAATTGGGTGCAAGGAATGGTGTTCAGGGAATATGTATATATTAACAGACATTTCTTGCCCAACCAACCAATTAATTGGTTATAGAATACCGTACTAATAATAATGTAGCATTTTAACATTACTGTTGTGCTCAGTGGTGAAGCTAGATATACAGGCGTGAGTGCATACTAATATAGCATTTTAACATTACTCAGAATCTCAATGATGAAGCTAGATATAAAAGCAAGAGTGTGAAAAATGAAGAGAAAATATATAACTGTTGTAAGATAACGCTTGCTATACGGTGAAAATAGTCTCTGCTCATCGAAAAGTCTCCAAGGTTACTAAGAATAAAGAAAATCTCCACTTCGATCTGAAACCTGCCTACCCATTCGTTCTTCCTAAAGATAAATAACAGAGTAATAAGATAACATAAAAATTTACTTAGTTCTCGTTTGTTTGAGAAAATAAAAATCAGAAAAGCCTGTTTTCGTGAACTACATCTTTTAAAGGTTGGACACAAAATGTTAACTATGGATATGAAATCTTTTCAAACTGCTTTGGTTTAAAAACATATAAACAATAAATTTTAAATCGACAACTAGAGAGGTCACTAGGTAAATTAAGTGACCACACCTAATACACCTGACAGTGATAAAAAGCGTTGAGCATTTACTGTACCTAAGTTGAGTGATTTATTTTAATTAACATATCACAGAGGTTGCGAGAAAGTTCCCACACTTGTAAATTAGTAGTAACATGATTAAGTATTTCATACCTCGAAAACTAACCAGCGTCCCTTTTTTTTAGTACATCACGCGATCATTGAACGGTTGAGTGGACTGCTATTTATCCGCCTCGATCATAATGTTAAAAGATATACACAAAAGTATTTACATAGCACATCGTTTTAGTTCTTTACGCTATTATGACTGTTAAGAACTTTTAGCTAAATTAATTAATATTTGATTGGAAATACAACAAGGAAAAAAAATATATATATGTAGAATGTTGTAGGTATGTTTAAGACCATTTTAAAAGTAATTTAAATAGTAAAAGTTTGTGTTGAAACTTCGCAGTTGTCGGTGGGAATTACAGGTTTTACTCTTCTTTCATTCCTAGACGTTTCGGGCTCCATTTTAAGTTCTTCAAACTTGAAGACTGAATATTGAGAACTTGAAGAAGTGGTCATCAGGGAATTTTAAATGTCTAATATGACCAAGGTAGGAGGAAGAAACAAGTTTGTAAAATACACTATCCATATATGAAGTACTCAGCTGAATTATTGTTCAGTTTTGATGATGTTTTTATGAAGAAAAACAACACCTTCCACTCGTTACATTTTAAGTTCTTCAAACCTGAAGACTTAATATTGAGAACTTGAAGAAGTGCTCATCAGGGAATTTTAAATGTCTAATATGACCAAGGTAGGAGGAAGAAACAAGTTTGTAAAATACACCATCCATATATGAAGTACTCAGCTGAATTATTGTTCAGTTTTGATGAAGAAAAACAACACCTTCCACTCGTTACATTTCAAACTCAGATTGTTGTTGTTGTTAAACACAAAACAATACAATAGGCTATCTATACTGTGCTCGCCACGGGTATCGAAACCGGTTTTTAGTGTTATAAGCAGTCAGACTTACCGCTGAGCCACTGAGAGGTCTCAAACTTAAATACAAAAGTCACAAACATACTAATCATGAGCAATGTAGGCTTAGGGCACTGTGGTGGATATAACCTTTTGACCTTTGTGAATTTCACATCTAACATTAATATACACTGTTGCCTCGTTGTTTTTAAAACATGGGTAGCGATATATATTACTTACAATATACACGAGAAAGTACAAGTAAAAAACAAATACTCAACAGCCTAATAGCAATGTAAGACTTATTTGTGTGTAAAGCGGAACGCGCAGGCTACATACTACTAGATTCTCCAAGATGATGACGTCAGGCGTGAACTAGAAGAAAAGCATCAGATGGTGATGGGTGAGAACTGTTTTCTACGAGCGCTCACAGCATGGGCAGATTGTTTCGTCAACACAGACATCACACAACTCAAAATGGTGAAATGTGAGCAAAAAATAAATGAAAATAATTGAGCCAGAAAAATTTCAAAGTATCTACTTATTTATTATATTTGAAAATGTTGCTGTTCATACGATGTTTAAATGTTGCTGTTGATACGATGTTTAAGTGTTGCTGTTTTTTATGTGATGTATATGCATTACAATTATAAGAATAATACTTGTTGATAATGCCTAGTTTTTCCTAAAGCTGCAGATATTACAAGTTCCTGGTTACACCAATCTAGCAATTACACATCGCAAACCCTTTTTGAGCAGGTCCAGACCCTAACAACGGATGGCTTATCCTAATAAACATCTCAGCACTCATGTTTATTTTCACATGGACAGGTCTTCGCAGAGCAAGTCAGAAGGTGACTTTAATACTTCTGGTCCGCCATTCGAGGCTGAACGGTCACGTAGCAACAAAGAAAAACCTTGGAACAAAGAGAACACGCCGCTTCGCTCTGTCAGGCCTAACCAACTTAAAAACAGCCGGTCGACCGATATCGTCGAAGGTTACTGCGCTAGTCAGCGGATTACAAACAGCCAGTCGTCCGATACTCCCGGAGAAAACCGTGCCAAACTGCGGTTCACCGAACCTTCAACCACCCGAAAAATGGGAAGAGAGCATTCCCGTCTCGACTTTGACGACTTTGATGCCTTCTGCCATACACCGACCATGTTATCTCCAGAAGAAAAGAGTAAACACAAACATTGGTATTGTGGTTTCTCCATAGACAAGTATGAGCAACAGTACCAAGACTATTTGCAGCCTCTGAGTCATCAGTCGCTACAAGTTCAGGAGACTACCTTGGAAGAAAAACCACTCGATCGGAGGCAGACTAAGTCAGCACAAAACCGAACTCGAAGACTTATGGATGTGTCCATAAAACCGAAACGTCCGTCATCTACTACTAGTGGATCAAGTGAAGCAACGGAAACGTCCAAACAGCAAGACTGCTTCATAATTCCTGCACATTTTATGCGGCGTTTCGTACCATTTGGCAAAGTAAGAATAAATTTAATATTCATTTGAATACAATAATAATAATACAATAATACAAAAGTATTAGTTAATTATTCTGTGCACGACTCTACTGTAACTTTAACTGGTGGTTGTTTATGTATAATCAATGTCTATTTCAACATAATACTGTAATTTACTTGGTCTATTTCAACATAATACTATAATTTACTTGGTCTATTACAACATAATACTATAATTTACTTGGTCTATTTCAACATAATACTGTAATTTACTTGGTCTATTTCAACATAATACTGTAATTTACTTGGTCTATTTCAACATAATACTGTAATTTACTTGGTCTATTTCAACATAATACTGTAATTTACTTGGTCTATTTCAACATAATACTATAATTTACTTGGTCTATTTCAACATGATACTGTAATTTACTTGGTCTATTTCAACATAATACTATAATTTACTTGGTCTATTTCAACATAATACTATAATTTACTTGGTCTATTTCAACATAATACTGTAATTTACTTGGTTTATTTCAACATAATACTGTAATTTCATCTTGACAGATTAACTTTCTCTAACTCAGTATATTTCTAATACTTTAATTGTTAGATGGCCAGCTAGTTTCGCTAGTCATGTTGAAGACCTTTTTAATCAGTTGTTTTCACCACATGATTAGACCGAAACTTTCTGTGTGAATACTTACAGTACAAATTACTCAGATGAATTAGTGGTATGTACGTTACCCACTATGCAAGTAATACAGTAGTCTTATAATCGTTCTGAGTACCATAGGCATCATATTTAATCACGACTATAAATTAAGCTGTTTCTTCATTGTAAGAGTAACTTGTATTTTGGGGGCAGAAAATCTTTTGCGTCCCAAATAGTTGAGCAGTTAGTAATTTAAGTTGCTCCACTTGAATTAGATAAAATCAATTTAGTATTATTATAAAGAAAAGTTAACTGCATTCTTAGTATTCTTATGAAGACAAATTAACTGCATACTTAGTATTCTTATAAAGACAAGTTAACTGCATACTTAGTATTCTTATAAAGACAAGTTAACTGCATTCTTAGTATTCTTATAAAGTCAAATTAACTACATACTTAATATTCTGTCTGTCAATTATGAACCTCAAAAACCCGTAATGGAATAAAAACGCTAGAAATCAGCGAGAGTTTTAAATACAAACAGTTTATCACATATTTTGTTCATTTCAAAACTCTAGAAATCTGATTAGGTTGTTGTTCTTTGTTCAAAAATTATTAATCTAATGTTTTTCTCATGTTTCTCAATATGCAAAAAACATATACATATATAAAAAATATCTTTAAAGATTCGTTAGACAGCGAAAAATAGAAATTTAATTTGGTTTATATTTGATAATTAAAGAAATCAATCTATACTGATTAATCGTTATTATTCTAAGCGTATCTCTTAGTTTGCCTGGGTACGATATAGTGGCTATCGTGTCGGATTACTGATCCTAGAATCCATGGTTCGAGTCCTGTTGTTGTAAAAAATAATAGCGCTCCACACTTTGGGAGCCGTAAGTGCGTTATAAGCGTGACGGTAAAATCCCAGTATTAAATTACAGTACCCCAAGAGTTAGCAGTGGGTGCTGTTGACTATATTTTTTCTCTCTATTTTGTCACTTCAAAATTATGGACGGCAAGAGCAAGTAGCCATTGTGTATGTCTGCAAACTTACAACTCTAGAAATCGGCTTTCGATACCCGTGGTGGGCAGAGCACAGATAGCCCATTGTGTAGCTTTGTGCTTAACTTCAAATAAACAAACAAACAAACAAAGCGTATGAAAAAAAAAACAACCAAAAAACGCTGCTGCTTGACGATATTTTAATTATTAATAAACAAGTATTACTTATGACATTAAAACAGAATCGCTTTTCGGTAGAAATCAAAGGGTAGGAGCAAGAAAAGAATTAAATCAAAAGCCGTTAAATTAATAATACAAGATATTTATATTTATAAAACAGCATAATTGATACTACTACCATTGGAAATATGGCACTGCCATCATTGGATATATGATATTGCCACAATTGTAAATACACCATATTCATCATACAGGTTACTTATATTTATTATAGTCTGTACACTCTATATGTAGGGATGGCCAAGGTACTAAATACGCATAATACAAACATGCACGTTTAAAATCAACTATGATAGAGAGTTGTACTTTAAAATATTATTGTCACTCATGTTCATTTGTTTCTCTATCCAACAAGCACGAAACACGGCTAGAAACCGGGTTTCGATACTCGTGGTGGGCAGAGCACAGATAGCCCATTGTGTAGCATTGTGCTTAACTATAAACACACAAACAGACCAAACCAGAAAGTGTCCAACCCACCAAATTGTTCATCTTTCTTCTTCTTGTTTCAGTCGAGATAATTCTACAACTACTTTATCACTAACGTCAGTTTAAACTGACCTGGATTTACCTATGTGTTTCTGGGAAGAGCACTAGTTGTAATAACTAGTAGTAACAAGAAGCAATCAGAGAGATTACATACCCTCGCCCCGCCGCAAATTTTTGAATTTTTTTATTTCAATGTGCGCTTGAAATTCTGTCCTAATCCGATCACTTTTTACACAGTTATTATCAACAAACTGAGAAAATGCCCTATATCTACATTATAAAAATGTTTCTAAGTAATCCAGAATCTGGATCTGGAACCGGACCAGTTTTTGGGAAGATTGTCCTATGGGGACATACTATCTCCTGTAAAAATTTCACATAAATCGGTTTATTATTTTTCGAGATACGGTGCGGAAATATAAACATACATACGGACCCAAATGCAACACACACCCAACTTCCCAACCCGGAAGTAAGGATAATTTTAAAAAATCGCAATTCTAGTGTAAACGATGTTATCGTTACCTCTTGAAGTTAGGTTTTTTATATAAGTCTGGTGTCCCTTTAAAAAGCTTAAGTACAGGATGAAACAGGAATTACCAACCAATAATTGATAAACATTAAATGACTGTAGAATGTAGAATACTCAATGCTTTGTACACTATAAAATCGGTGTCTTTAGGGAGTCAACCCCTTTATTATGTATGAGGTGAAAGAGTAAAGAAAAATTACTACACATGATATTAAATTCTACTACACACATTCATAGAATACATTAACTTTCAGTCAGGGGAAACACATCACAAAACAATTAATATAAAACATTTTGTAAATGTAAAATGATGTAGTGATGGCAGTGTCAAAAATAATGCAAACAATAATATATGGACGATGCAACTATACATGACTTTCAATATTAAAACTGAACGTTACACTGTAAAATGCATACTTGACTTACTTTAATATTACTGCAGTTTACAGTTATATATTCCTGACTGTTGGTATACAGTTTGTATATCCTAATATCATGATCATGTCAGGGTAGGCATCAATGTAGTGTAACTAATATCCCAGGACTTACGTACAAGGAAAATCAAGTTGAGTCAAAACATGTCTTGATTATTACAGACTCTCGCTACAAGATCGGTCCAATTGACCGACCCCGTAACCATTTCGTACTCGTGCATTTTACAGTATAACATTAAATTATAATGTTGAAAATCATGTTAGGATGATCTATGTATAGCTGTATCATCCCTATATTCTTATTTGCATTTTTTTGGCATGCCATCCCTACATCATCTAACATTTAGATAATTATTTTATATACTTGAAAAACAGTATAACTGGTACTACCACCACTTTGTAGTGCGTTTTAGAACAGTATAATTGGTACCACCACCACTTTGTAGTGCGTTTTAGAACAGTATAATTGATACCACTACCACTTTGTAGTGCGTTTTAGAACAGTATAATTGGTACCGCCACCATTCTGTAGTGCGTTTTAGAACAGTATAATTGGTACTACCACCACTTTGTAGTGCGTTTTAGAACAGTATAATTGGTACCACCACCACTTTGTAGTGCGTTTTAGAACAGTATAATTGGTACTACCACCACTTTGTAGTGCGTTTTAGAACAGTATAATTGGTACTACCACCACTTTGTAGTGCGTTTTAGAACAGTATAATTGGTACCACCACCAATTTGTTTTAGTATAACGTTGTCATTACGATGTTTTATCTTCATGAAATACCAATAAATTAGTACTTAGATATGGAAACCAATTTTACTGCATTGGAGATTTTTGTTTGTTGTTAAGCAGATAGTTACATAATGAGCTATCTGTTCCCACCGCGGATATCGAAATCCAATTTTTAGAGTTATAAATTATCTGTCTTACCGATAAGCCACAGGGGGGGGGGGGCAAGCAAGAAGTAAAACAGAATAATAACTTTCTGAATAGAAATATAACAATTTAAAACAAAGTGTGCAAAACAGAAAGAAACTGAAACATTGTGAGACCAAAAGAACAGAGGAGAGAAAACTACAGAAGTTTTATTTGAGACGATGAACTTATTTTATGCCAAGAGCTTGAAGTATGAAATCAACCCGATAAAAACCGGTTCAAACTGGTCTCTAGCTTATATAGAGTTGCGTACTACTAGTCTGTGAGTTGTATTTAGACTGTTTTTATTTTGCTGCCATCCGTGCTTCTTGAGAATAAAATATACTCAGTACATTTCAACGCTCCTAGCGATATCTCTAACACGTTTCTTACTTACCAACGACCTTGTAGTTGTGCTTATGATACTTCTAAAGTGAGGTCTTCTTATGGGAGAGCGGTTAGCTTTCTGGCTTACAACGCTCAAATCCGGGGCTCAGTTCTCCGCAGTGGACACAGCAGATAGTGGCTTTGCTCTAAAACAAGCATCAAAGTGAGATATATATATACATATAGTGAAACAAGTATAATCAAACAAATCTTAAGTAATTTAGATTCGCTTTAGTCGTTGTTGTTAAGTATAAAGATACACAATGGATTATCTGTGCTGTGCCCACCATGTATATCGAAACCTGATACTTAGCGTCGAAGCAGATTTAACGCTGAGAAAATACTTTAGGGGAAAAAATAATTCACTAGCAAGTGAATAAAATATAGCCATTTTTAAAACTGAAAATTTGAGCATAATATTTAAGGTAATCGGATGAACAAATGATTTATAGTATAGGATACGCGCTTTTGCATAAATGTGCCATTTGTATGTATATTCGGTTTGCATAATCCGTTAAGTGATTTTATTTTCTGTCTCTGAAAACGTTTTCAATAAACAAACAGATGACGTCAAACGCTAACGTTTTAAAAGCCATATGCCATATTTAATTTCTATAAACAAACAGCTGACGTCACGCATTAACGTTTTAGAAACCATATTTAGTTTCAATAAACAAACAGCTGACGTCACACGTTAACGTTTCAGCAACCATATTTAATTTCAATAAACAAACAACTGACGCCACACGTTAAAGTTTTAGAAGCCATATTTAGCCATATTTAATTTCAATAAACAAACAGCTGACGTCACATGAGATGGAGCAAATGGCTGCAACAGCTCAAGGTAGTTTAAACTAGAGAGATCTGAGTTATGTCAAGCCACCCTAACAGCTTGGGTGGTTGCAGTGTTCATCAATTAGAGGTAGGTTGGCTGGTTTAGAAAACTATGGGTTTGGTGATACGCAGTATTTACCTATAGTGATACAACAATATGAAATTGAGTTTCTTATGGTAATTAAAGAAGCCACATTTAATGCACGTTATTTTTAAAACAGCCTAGAACAGCTTCTATTTATAAGTATGATAAAAGAAATATGAGCATGCAGTAGCGAGCGAAAAGTAATTTTCTAAAACCACTCACAGTAAATCATGCACTATTCGATGTTTCATATTGGTGTCGTGAACTATTTATATTTTATAAATAAAAAAAAACTGAGAGGAATGGATTGACATTAAGCTTAAGACGACAGTTTTATAGGCTTCACACACACGATGCGGCTTAGTTCAAATTTCCCCCATATAACAAAACTTAGTTAACCGAATAAGAACCTAGTTTTTTTATCTCAAGTTTTCCAATCTATTGTTTACTTAAAACAGCACTTTTGATGTAATTTTAGAAATGGTTGCCTTGTTTGGTAGCTCACAACTTGTACAAAGTGCTGGAGAATAATGCACTTTGTGAAAACGAATTATATATTTTGATAAACTAAAAGCAAGCTCCGAAAATTTACATTTTTAAAGTACTTTATTGATGTCACTAATGTTCTTCTAATCCTTCTTCTACAAAGTGTCTGGGAATCATAGTCGAAGACTTTCAAATTTATTTTGAGGACCAATAACGTGTATGAAAATTAAATATTAAAAATTTCTATCACATTGGAGTAGTGTGTGAAAATTAAATATTACATATTACTCTCACATTGGAGTAGTGTGTGAAAATTAAATATTACATATTACTCTCACATTGGCGTTGTGTGTAAGATTTAAATATTATGCATTTCTTTTACACTTGGAGTTGTGTGTAAGATTTAACTATTACGCATTTCTTTTACACTTAGAGTAGTGTTAGCAGAGTATGTGAAAATTAAATATTACAGATTTCTATCACATTGGAGTAGTGTAAGTAACGTGTGCAAAAATTAAATATGACCCATTTATATTTATACCGGAGTAGTGTTAGTAGCGTGTGTAAAACTAAGTATTACACTTTTTTTTAACGGAGTAATGTCAGTAGCGAGTGTAAAAAAATTAATATTAAAAGTTTGTATCACTTGTAAGTAGCGTGAAGATTAAATATTGTAGAGTTCTCAATTATTTTTGTTTCTTCTTGTTCAAAAATATGTGGGAGGAAGTAGGGTGCTGCTAGTTGGCTGCTGCTTTCCCTCTAGTCAGTAGTTTAAAATTAAGGACAGATAGCCTTAGTAGCTTTGCCATAAATACAAAGTATATTCTGTCACTATCAAATGTTCTACCACTTTTTGTATGTTCAATATTTTACATAGTTACATTTGAATCTTTTTTATTTTATTTCTAAGAACGTTTAAATATAATAGATTTTCTCGTATCGGAGATCACAGAAAACTATAATTTACCTTAGAAAGGGCACTTTCACACCAAACAAACTTAAAATATTTAAAATCGTTTCCATACACTATTAACATCCGGCAGTGGTTTAGAGCTCTAACAAGTATGTGTTAATAATACAGTCAACCGTAGGAGCATCATGTATTGTGAAACGGTTAAATTTCATCAGTTTTGGATTTGCAGTTTACAGTTAGAACAGTTTAGTTGAAATTATTGTGGATTCCCTAGGATTTATTTGAAGATATTGAGGATTCTGTAAGCTCAAGAAATACTTGCCACAAAAGAGTTTTTCGTTTTTAAGCAGAACGTTTTGACGAAGTGAAATTAATGTTTCTTTACATTCACCGTTTAGGAAGGCCAGATCAGTAGCATGCCTTCTCAAGCTTTAAGCATGATTGAAGTGCAAGACCCTAAAATCTGCATAATCATAGACTTCGGAGAGAAGGCAGCTTTCACCTCTCAGGCTCATTTCTCACGTGCCTCGAAGTTAGACACCCCGTCTCGAGATTGGATATCTACTCAGCTTGAGATACAGAGGAAGAAATTCCATTTGGTTCGAAAGTCACAAGCTGCAACCGAAGGAATGCTCTTGATTAATGTGGAACGATGCAGTAGGTGTTACTAACCATATTTATCCATATTCCTTGTATGGGAAGGCTTAAAGAACGAATTAGCAATGGATAATATATTTTTGACAATATTTTTCTAGATTTAATTACTTAGTTTACCTACAATATTTTTGTCTTTATAAATGTCTTTATGGAAATAACTTATTACACATCTCTGCCAGAGTCCATATTTTGCTTCGTACAGAAACATATTAAGGTCATGATCACGTGAATGTTAGAACGAGGCTATATACTTTACTAGATGACAACATACACGTTAAAAATATATAAACAAATACAATTTACCTCCAAAACTTATTTTTAAGTATTTGGTTTTTAAATTTCGACAGATGCTTGTGTGTTACTCATATTATACCCACACAACTGAAATTTTAGGAAAGAATAATTTAATGAAGCTAATGTATTT